CTCTCTCTCTCTCTCTCTCTCTCTCTCTCTCTCTCTCTCTCTCTCTCTCTCTCTCTCTCTCTCTCTCTCTCTTGTATACACACACACACCTGCAATCAGACTCGCTTTCATCCACGCTTTTCATGCATGCAAACAGTAGTGCAGCAAACTGGCGACAAGCGCCCACACAGAACTCAGAGATACGGTCGCCGAAAACACAGTCCAGATACAAGTTCACTTTCGATGGCTATGGCGACTCAACGCCCAAACAACTCTCTGTTCGCATACCCCGGATCACCCTGGATATCCCACATGCGTTACTCTGCACTCACACACACACACACGCTACACACTAACTCTAGCTATGGCGGCTATGGCCGCTTCTACTCTATAGCTACGCTACGCTCCTCTCTCGCCCACTTCGGCTCCGGGCTCACTGCCGACCTCCTTGCACAAGTCGCTGTGGCAGCGCTTCCGCATGGCTCATGCAGGAATGAATGAATGACTGGGCGCTGCCTCTTGATTTATATTTCTGAAGCTCGTTGGTCTGCCCCTTTTCCATCGGCCCATGGTGCTCACAGTCCCTCGTGGTACTTGCTGGACCGGACTGGGACTGACTGGACCTTACCGCTGACTGAATGGGGACTCGCTGCTATCTTACCGCTATCGTACTGCGAACGTACTGCAGTTGGTCCACCACTTGCCCACTTGCCCACTTGCTCGACCTTCTGGAAGGACTACAGCTAAGACTTCTGGAACTCACTAAGACTTCTATTCTACAGATCTACAGATCGAACCCCTGCTACCTATGGACCCTACGACAGTCTACTAACTGTTACAAATACACAGGTCGTGGGTTCAAGCCTTGGGGTTGACAAAGATACTGTACACCGGTAGGGTAAGGGCTAGGGATCGAGCCCTGGGGTCTGCATCTGCTACTGCAAAAGGTGAAAACCGTTTCACTCGCGCCGTCCTAAATTCGAGGTCCTCCGAGAATATCTTAGTCGAAGGCAGGACCTTTACCCTTCCTATCACGCTCATAGGCTCTGACTATGTCGGGAGCTGTTTCTAGAAGTTCTGTTCTAGTAAACCAGCAGTCGTCCTCCGGTTCCTGATAGGCAAACCGGACCTTATACTGTTTCTGTGGACGACCTCTACCTCCTGTCCTAAACACATCTTCATCTAGAATGCCGTCAATGTCATATCTGCCATCCATATCCGGAGGGATCATGGATCTTCTTGAAGGGAACTGTTGACTTGTGATACACGGCAACAACTTTGAAGCATGGAACACCGGGTAGGTGTGGAGGTGTGCTGGGATTTCTTTAGTGTAGGACGGTCCATCCTCTCCGCCCTTGACTTCTAGAACCAGCCACGGTGTCGGCACCATTACCCTTACAAGGGTAATTGTGCGCGTTTTTGCACCTCGCAGGAGAGGCGACTGGGCTAGGACCTGTGAAGGTGGCACATAGTTGTCCTGCCGCGACCGACTTGGAAGTCGGAAGCGGCAGGTGTAAGGGTGGGCTAATTAGAGAGTGTGTGAGCAGGCACTTTGCGGGCATGCGTGAGTAGTTGGCCGCCGGCTGACTTAGAAGTTTGGGCCGGACTACGCAAGTCGCAGGACCACGGCCTCGGTAGAGCTACCGCGGCACAAGTATAGCCGGTAGGGCTATGGTAAAAAAGGGGGGGGCCTTCGCCGATCCGATAAAAGGCGGCGCCCTTGGGGTCGCATGGTGCGGGCGGCGACGGCATAAAATCGACTGTGTATTACCGGGAGCCAAAGGTTGGAGAGCGGGTGCGGACTGGACCCCGTAAGGTTGAAGACCGGGACCTTTTCCGGTGAAACGACGATAAAAGGCCGGCCACGGCGGGGCTATGAAGGCCGCTCGTTGCGGTTAAAGGTACTCGAAGTTGGCATGTGTTGCAAGACGCGCCAAAGGTTGCTTTGAGGCGGCACAACGTGGCCCTACAAAGCCATGGGCCTGAAAGAGCAGGCCAGCTGTGGCCGTAACATGCCCCTGCAGGCCTGGGAAACCCGCAGGTACTATTGATATGCAGGTTTGCGCCTGCTATTTCCAGGCTGGGGCTTAGCCCTATAGGTTACGGTGGCAGACTTCTACCAGGCGAATCCCGGGATCGAGGCCAGCAGCCAGCATTGGAGGAGCAAAGGAGCGCAGGACAATCGAGGGGTTGAGGGTCCTGCAGGATTATCCCCCTTGGTTTTGCCAAGGAGTCCAGCAGCGGGCCCGCGAGGCAGGGCTAAGGGCAGAGTGCCGGCGGTCCCCCTCCCCTCAGCTATTTTTCCTTTTTTCTCTTTTAGAAATTCCGAGTTTCTAATTTATTATTATTATTATTATTATTTTTTTTCTCTTTTTTTTTTTATTTTTTTTTTTTTTTCACCTTTGTTCGTTTTGGGGCACGACCGGTGCCGACTCCGGGACCGGCCGTGGGCACCAAGGGTCGTTGGCAAAGGGGCAGACCAACGAGAATCTGAAGTATAAATCAAGGAGCAGCGCCCCGCCACTTGGTGATTCCTGTGGAAGCCATTGCGGGAGCGCTGTCTCAGCCTCTTGTGAAGGAAGGTCACTATGCCAGAAAGCTGAAGCGGGCCAGGCATCGCAGTGCAGCTCTGAACAGCAACGAGCGCCAAGGCAGAGAGAGAGAGAGAGAGAGAGAGAGAGAGAGAGAGAGAGAGAGAGCACGAGGGTGCTGGGAGCAGAGGCAAAGCGGGCGCAGGAGTGAGGGCGTAGGCTACGAGGGGAAGAAGCAGAACGCAGGGGAACGAATCCGGACAGAAAACAGCGCCGGGTGCAGATAGAGATGGTGGGAGAAAAGAAAGAGGAGCCGGGCGCAGCCTAGAAGGCTTAACTCTCTCAATCCTCAGCGGAATCGAGGGGGGAGAGATGCAATCCTAAGGTTTTAACCTCGGGCGAATCTGATGGAAACATCAGTTTTGCCGTAAGAGTGGGGTGAGGGTTAGTAGGAGAATGAGGTGCGCGGAGGGAGTCGAGAAAGGTAGTGAAAGAGGAAAGCGAGGTGGAAATTGTTGTTTCTCGGTCGTTTCTTGACCAAATTGGGCAAACTAAAGTGCTAATTGGGGGTTTTGGGGCGCTGCGAACACGATGGTGATGTTAGAATGGCCTATAGTTCAGTGATCAGGCCAAGGTAAGTACTAAGAGCTGCGCCTAGAGTCGGAGGGCAGCGAGGTACTAATGAACCTGGCCACGGCTCAGCGCAAGATTCATTGGAAATCGGCTCATTCTATCGACGGAGGTGACGGGAGGCCAGCAACGGAATCTGGACTCGTCTATGGCCGCTGGGTATGCTGGCCAAAGTGGCGAAAGGGCAGCAGTTGCTGCAATTGCTAGACCACTAATGTGGACGTCCTCGCTGTATCTTTGACCTCGGCTCGCACTTTTGGTGTGGAGCGGAGCTGTGCTCAGTTACAGCGCACGGCCATCTGTCATCGAGAGTTGTCTCCAGCCCTGGTCATGCCTAGCGCCGCAGTCATCATCCAAAGGTTCATTGTGTCACTATAAGTGCAGTTCCAACGGTGATCATTTTCACTCTCTTAAGGGCCAGCTGCTGCGTCACTAAGATCGTGGAGGCGACATAATTGAGGGCCGGGGTGTACTTTAGGCGGAGGGAGTGAGCCATTGAAGTACAAGCTCAATACCCTGGTTAAAAGGAGTGTGATGGAGATAACAGGTCGACATCAGCGTATCGGCTGATCTCGCTGTGTGTTGTGGCATGTGACGCCAGAGGACTGGGTTGGGTCTTCTGCAAAAAAAATAAAAATAAAAATAAAAAAAAATAAAATAAATAAATAAATAAATAAATATAATAAATAAAAAATAAAAAAAATCAGTGGC